CTTTTCCCATGGGGGGGGGGTCGCCCCAGAAACACGCAGTAGGGCGAAGGGGGGTGGCTTCAGAAACCCGCAGTGCAGTCGACAAACTGTCATAAGGAATCCTGAATACGGAACGTGGGGGGGGGGTCGCTCCAGAAACACGCAGTAGGGCGAAGGGGGGTGGCTTCAGAAACCCGCCGTGCAGTCGACAAGCTGCCATAAGGAACCCTGAATACGGAACGAGGCCCCTTTGTTCATAAGTTCAGCCTCGGGCTCCCGCAGAAATCCTGGGTGTAGCACAAGCTGCAAAACGGAGCCCCTCCCCAACGAAAAGGGCTCCTTCTTCTTTGGTTGGTCGCTGTGGCCAGGCTCGCGCGGCACGAGCTCAGGTTCTAGCAACCGCGCGGCTGGCGATCGCTGCCGACGGCGCTGGTGGCAGGCGAAAGCCTGAAACACGGAGCTCCGATTGGCAAAGAAGCAGGCGAACGAAAAGGGCCAGCGCGCCGCCGCCCGAGCAGAAACCCTGGTCAACACCCCTGTTGCTTAGCTTTCGCCTTCGGCGGTGGCTTTGGCGGGAGCCCAACACGTATGCGCTCCATCTTGTCGGGTCGATGCTGCAACCAATTCGATGTCCCGGGGGGGCTGGCAGGCGGATGACAAGCCGCGCTGCTTGCCTGGCTCCTCTGGCATTCCAGAGCCATCGCCTGTGGGCGACGCAGACGCGCTGGAACCAGGGGGCCTCTCGGGGACCTGAAGAACCTCCGCGCCAGCTAGGGAGGCACACGTATCACCGAGTCTCCAGGGTCGAGCCACATCTGCCGTATTTGAGTGGCGACCAAAGACAACATCACTCAAATGCGATGACTGCTGGAGGCAAGACCAATCACTCAGAACATTGCGCTGCGACCCCAAATCACCCACGGTCCAGGGCCCACTGCAGGAGGCGAATGAGGCCTCCGAGAAACTCACCTGAGCACGAGCGCTACCTGAAGCTTTTCGCAGCGGGGCCTACGGGGGCCCCAGACGAGAAGCCCTGAGGGGCTTTCGCAGCGGGGCACACCCCGCGGGGGCCCGCGCGGCGCCCGCGAGGTCGCCCAGGACCTTCTGGGGACACGACATCGCCGATGATCGCAAGCGAGACGGCGCCGAACCTGGCGACCTTGTCGTCGAAAGGCTGCAACTGCAGGAACTTCGTGAATCCCGCGGGAAACGCATCGCCTGCCAAGACTTTTTATTTTGACAAATCTGCCGAGAAGCGCCCGTCAAGATTCAGCGCCCTCGGCGCGCGGCCGAGGGAGATCTGACGCTTGGCCAGCCAGAGTGGGGAGCCGAACTTGACGGCCCCCCGGGGCCAGGCACGCGCGGCTGCTCGAACGCCATCCGGAGATCCAGTAGGATACTGGCTGACGCCCAATCTTGACCCCGGCGCAGTTCCACCATCGCGGCGACCCTCTGGGCACTGGTGCACGGCTGCCACGCCGCTCCGTCACATGACCGCCCCGAGCTCACCCACTAGTAGGGTCTATCACTGCCCCCCCCCCCGCTGGCGCATGAGCGGGCGACGTGGCCGTCCACGAACCTAAACCACGGCAGCGAGATGTCCGATTGGGCGAAGCCCTCCGTCTGACTTTGGTGCGAGCACCACCTTGGTACTGAAACTGGGCAAATCTGCTTGCCTCTCGATTTCCATCGGCAAATCCATGAGCGCTTCAATGCCTTGATCGTCGAACTGAACCCGCTCGGACAAAATCTGTCAAAATGGAGCCCAGGCTGAGGTTTCAACAAAATCACCATCCACAGCTCCGTCGCAGTGGGCCTGGCGGGGCGCCCTCGGAGGCCCTTGAGCAAAGGCGACTTGCGCCGCGCGAGCTGCCCCGGGGCATTCGCAGCGGGCCCTGCCGAGCCCCGACAATGAGCGGTGCCGATTTCACCGGGGGCGGCCCCTTGACCTGTCACATTTCTCCAGGGACGGCCCCTACGGGCATATCTGGCCGTCAATAGGCGTGCACTGCATGTCGCGCGTGGCGCTCGTTTCGCTGCTCAAGGTGCACTTGGCGCGCGTGTCCTCGAACGTCTCGCGGTCCTCGTTGAGTCTAATGTCCGGGCGTGCCTGGCGACGTCGCTGGCTCAGAGCTCCTCAGATTATTCCTGCAGCCTGCGCAGCAAACCATAGTGCCACTCACGATTGCCACGCTGACCTCTCCAAATATTTTCGCGAAATACACTCGCCATGTAGATGGCAGCCGCGCTGCGGTTGGCCCCCCCGCGCTTCGGGCGACTGAGGGCGAGGCCCACGCACGGCGCGCGGCGCTTGCCAGCGAGCTCCCTGAAGCGAGCATCCGGAATCGGGCCAACCAACCACTGCCTGGCCCAAGAAAGCAGAGCCCTCCGGAGGCTGCGCTTCATCTCCAGCACTTCCTGGCGAGCTGGATCCTGTCCACCGTCGGCTTCGGAGTCGTCGCCGGCGTCTAGGGGGGCCGTCATATCTGCGGACCAAAGCCCGCTAGCAGGGAGTAGCTGAGAGGGGGGCCCGGAAGCTGCCGAGGCGGAATGATCCGCCAAGCCTGCAGCAACACAGGTGGCGCGGTCGGTTGGCTCGGAGCTGGCGCGCTCGTCGCGGGCGGCGCTTCCGCGCCCCAGTGGGCGGGCCGCTCGTCGGCGAGCGCGCGCGAGCTCTGCTGGATGCAACGCGGTGAACCCTCGGGCCTGGCAGGCCGAGCCTTCCAAGACTGAGCCTGCTTAGTGGCGGCGCGGATGCCTCCAGAGCCCGTGGCCACCAAGTGCAGCGCCCACTTGCTGTAGCCTCGCTGCGTCTGGACAAGATCGCGCGTGGCCGTGGCGCCCGCCTTGCTCGCGCGCGCAACGATGAGGATATCCAGCTGCGTTGGCGCGATGCCCCTGGCGCCGCCGCGCGCGACGAGATGCGCGCGCCCGCGGTCGAGCCTATCCACAGCTCGCAAAACCCCATGCCTGAGCGAGGGCTTGACGACCCGTTCTGCGTCGCGAAGACAGTTGGCCGCCGACCTGCGCCGCGTCGCTGCCCGCGCGACCCGAGGAAACCTCGGGGGGGCGGGCGACGATAGATGCGGGCGCAAGCCGAGGCCGCTCAGCCCTGCCCGCGCACGAGTCCAGCCCGTCGACGAGCCCACTTGAGGTAACCATGTTGGCCTCCGCCTAAATGACGAAGGTCTCCCACGTCTCATTGCAGTCCGTCGAGCGCCCAAGCAGCTCGCGAAACTGGGGCCAACCAGCACGATGATCGTGCGAACAGCAGGCGATCAGCCAGGGCAAGGGCAGCCGCTGCGCGGCGCGCGCGACGGCGACGCGCCGGCGCATGGCTGGCCCCCGGAACTTGTCGCCACAGGAGAATGAAGGCCGAGAGCGAGACCATGAATGACGCTGGCCTTGGCTCCCCTGCACATCCCAGACACCAAAAGGAAATCAATAATGATCCTCTCGCCCAGCCTGCGCGTGGACTTTGAGGGGGGGCCGCGGCGGCCCGCGCCGCCCCCAACCAGCCCGGCTCGGCGATGGTCGACGGCGCCATGTTGAAATCGCCGCAGACGACGAACGGGCGGTTGGCCGCCTGCAGCGCCCTGAACACCGCGCGCAAAGAGTCCGCGTTGCGATTGTTGAGCCTGGCCCCCTCCTCGAGGTGAACGTTGATCAAAGCGACGCCGCCTCTGCAGACGCCGTTGAAGCGAGAGATGATGGCACGGACCGGCCCCGGAGTGGACGGCGCGCCGGGCAGCTCGAGCGGGCCGAGCCCAAGACGATGAGGCGCTATTTGGACCGACCCACCGCTGCCGCGACACGCTGGCCCCGCGCTGATCGCAAGCGCCGCCTCGCAGACCCGTTCGGGCCCGCGAGGGTGAAATTGGGCGTCGAGCGTCCGCCGGAGGTCGAGGTGCGCGTCTTGGGCGGCAGCGAAGCCGCAGCACCTGACCGCGGCCTCGCCCAGAAGCTGGATGGAACGCGACCACGCGCTGCAGTCCACTGCGAGGCCGATCCACCAGCGACCGGCATCGGAGCCTCTCCGCGCGCGCAGCAAAGGAAAGCTGCTGTCACCGATAGCCTGGGCAATGTGGCTACCCAGACGGCAGCTTGGAGCGTTTCCCGCGAATGAGGAGATCGAGCGCTTCCTGGAACCGCATCTTCTCGCCCTCGTCGGCTGCTCTGCCCAAGACGCCGCCAGGGTCGCCCGCCGCGACATTGGCGAAGCCGTCGTCGTCGCCAGCGGCGCCCACGGAGGCATCGCCACCGCCTGGAGGCCCTCCAGCTGGGACAGGTCGACCCTCAGGAGCTGGGTCTGCGCGAGGAGCCTCGCGCTGCTCAGCTGGCGGTGGCTGCGACTGAGCCTTGGCCGTCTCTGCCATCTCGTCGAAGAGAGCTGAGAGGCTGGAAAAGACCTCGGCTCCCGTCTTACCCTCCGTGGGAATGGCCGAGACCTTCTCCTTGACGCTCTACAGCGTCTCGTCTGCCGTCTCGTCGTGGCGGCCTGCTTCTTCGCCTCCTCAATTTCAGCCGTGTGCTGGTCGGGTGCATGATTACCTTGGCTTAAAGTTTTTAAGGCCTTGCGATAACTCTCCAAGAGCCGCTTTCTCTTGGCACTGGCGTCAGCCAGTGCAAACGATGATTGATCGACCGCCAAAGGAAGCTTCCGAACCTCCGAACCCAAGACGCCAGCGGCTTTCTGTCGACGTGCCAACTCGACCTTGGCTCGACCTTGTCTCGAACTGCTCTTTGAAGATACCGTAGGACTCCGAGGCCATGGCAGCCGACCTGCGACTTTCTCAATGATGAACGTGATGGTGGTGACTGTGCCGCCGCCGCCTCTGTTCTGGCAGAAACTGTTGGTGCCGCCGCCTCTCATTCAACTTCTTCCCTTGGACGGCTTCTTGCGCCAAGGTGCTCCCTCTCCGACCCCGCCGCCGCCCATGGCCCACTTGCCACCAGGCTTTGGAAGTGCGTCGTTTTGCGGCTGGAACGACGTCGTCCTTCTTCGCGCCCTTGCAGCCCGC